CAGATCACTTCAAGGCCAAAAAATAAAATTAAATAAAACTGCTGCAAGACACAGATAGAAGACAGGCAACAGCACACTGATTCCTAAATATGTATTTTTTAACAACTGTAGAACAATAACTTAATTTTTATTTGAAAGCAGCATACACACACACTGTAAGAAATACAAATCATGCATCCCAGGTGCTCTAATATCCTCTTTTCACTGTGCATTTCTTTTCTCATATTCAATTTCGATTTCAATTTGGATCTTATTTCATTTCACGCTGTTCCGGTGGCCTGTTTCTTACCAACATACTGTTCTCCCTCTACCTGAGGCAGTGCGGAGAAAGGACTGGTCACAATGAACACACACATAAGAAACAGGTATTAAAAGTCCTAATGTGTGACGGGAACATCCACAAGCAAAGTGAATGTTTTCTGTTGATGTTGGCTTCTCCCTCCACACCCCCTCCCCACCACTACCATGAACGTGCTTCTCAAAAGAGGAATGCAACTTCATGAGATCTGCAGTTTTTCTCATGATTTATTTTGTCAAAGAAATAGATTAAGCACTAAAAGGGAAGGAACCATGCGTTTACTTTGCAAGATAAATAAAAGTCTATTTTTGTCTGATAAAAAACATGTTAAATATAGCTTGTTCACAACTGCCATAGCTCTCTGGGAATACATTTTCTTTTATTCAAAACATAGGAAGCTTAGGAGAGCAATTAATGTTAAGTCCTGCAAATTAGCATTGTATGCATTGTGGACTATACTTCATCTTCCTGCTATAATTTTATGTGGAGTAAAAGCACTTTCCTTCTTCCTACATGGTCAAGAAAGGGTTATCTCCTCGTGAATCTAAATCCAAAATGATGTAGTAGAAACTATTATCTAGTAACAAAGTGTCTCGACAGGTAGATGGGTAGGTAAATCGATATAAGGCACACTTTTATATTTTTAGTTCATTACTAGCCTCTCTTAGCCCCGTTAAGCTATCAGGCATAGTGTGAAGTCTGGCTATCAGGAACAATTCTTTTTGACGCTTGCACAGTTCAGTCGTGAATAATGGTTTACTTCTACACAGACCCCCTCCTTTATCTCCTTCCATTTTTTCCAGGAATTTATCATTCCATTTTTAATAATACATAACAGCCATCTTAAAGGGAGGGAGAGAAAATCAGGTTCTTTTGACAATCAGTTGGAGAAATTGTACCTCTTAGACCCAAATAGATCTATCTCTTCAAGCAGGGTGTATTTGTAAAAGGAAAAGGATTTGAGAAAACACATTTTGTGTCTTGGTGAAATAAATGGGTCTCTGCCACTAGCTCTTTCACAAAGACCAAAGATGGAGAAAGCTGTCCTTCCTTCTTATTGCCTTCACACCCGGCTAACCTCCCAATTAAGCAAGTTTAGCAAAGGCAGAGAGATAAATCCAAGTGACATGGGATTTGTACAATCCATCCCTCTCCTGGCTTTGTGTTCTTTTTAACTAAAATGAATGAAACATCTAGCTCCATTTTCTTCCCTCCTTTCCTGACTTGCTGCAGGAGAGCCCAGAGTGACAGAGAAGCTTGTGGGGTATGTGTGTGTGTGTGTGTGTGTGTGTGTGTGTATGTGTGTCTTTGTTGGGGTGGGGGTGCCGGAAACATACTTTCAGAATTCCCTCTTGATTGCCTTTGTCCCCCATTTCCTTTTGGAAATCCTCACACAGGTCCTGGATTGTGGATGTTCAACTGCTCCTGTTTGGAGACACTCAAGCCATGCCTTGAACCAGATCTGATCAGCAATCTCCACAGAGGCTGTCAGCTCCTCCATGATCAGGATGTCTTTACTGTCTTCACCACATCTGTCATTTTTTAAAAAGCTTCTTCCACTACACCTCCCACTGATATCCTTTTTTCTCTTTTTAGTCTTTACACCTCCAGCAGGATAAAGTTTGTGTTGTTATATTCACAGCCACTAGTTTAGTGGCTGACTAGCAGAGAGGTGCCTTCACCAGAGCTAGGCAAAGAAGGGGTTAAAGCCATGCCTAGTGCACATGACTTTCTTTCCAGTGCCAGCAAATAATATGCACATTGCTCTCTTCAGACACAAAACACACACACACACACACACACACATATATATATACATATACATACACATATACCGAATATACATATAGTTAAATTTGATCACCCCTGCTTTTAAACCCAGCCACTGCCACTTTATCTGGGGAGGGAAATACAAATTGCTAGCCAAGTCATTCATCAAACAGAGACAGATGGGAGGTGTGGGGGGGGTGCATGGATGCCGTATTTTATAAAGCATCCTTTAGATGGATTTGGTTTCACTAGTTGATTGTCCAGCTATTAAATAATTTTTTAAAAAAGAGTCGTCTCTCTTTTTCATGAAGGTGGAGCCAAGAAGGAAATCCTCACATCATTCTATGTTCTACATTGACCATTTCCCCAAGCCCCCAGCACAGCCCCAGAGACAGAGAGATAATGGAGCTGCAAAGTTCCCTTGGAAATCTCTCGGGGAAGAGAAGCTTGTGTGTGCAGAAACCCCAACTCCCATCGGGGCACAGAATGCCCCAGGACTGGGAACCCTCACGGCCCCCTCCCCAGCTCACATTTCCTCCTTGTCCTGTCCCCTTCTGCCCCGGGCCACACCTCCTTCCTCCCCGCATTCAGGGGTGGGATAGAAGAAGAGCCCCCAGAGCCTGCCAGCAGCAGCAGAGGTGGCTGGCCAAGTGTGTGGCCTCGGGAGGACCCCAGGGATTGACGAGGCCTGCGGGAGGGCTGACCTCGGGGCGGAGGGGGGGGGCTTTCAGTGGGGGGTGGGGGGTAGGGGGGAGCGTCCGGATCCCGCAGCGCTGTTTCCTGGGTGGACTTCAATCCCTCACACCCCAGATACCCCCCACCCACCCCCGAGCCCAGCGCCGAGCAGGGCGCAGCATCCCTCCTCTGTGAGCCCTTTCTCCCACCTCGGGCTGGCTGGGTACAAGCGGGGCGGGCACCCCCCGTCGCCCCAAACCACCAGCCTGAGCAATTTTACTCGGGGGTAGGGGAGGGGGGCAGGGAGAAAAAGCGCGGATATCCAGAAAAATAAAATTAAAAATTGAAAAAGAAATGTGCTGGCGCGCGCGCACACACAGGCTCACACTCACACACACTCACACTCACACACACTCTCACACACACAGAATTTAGAAGCCAGTCTTGCCAACACGGGGGAAACTGTAGCCTTGGGAACAGCCAGGAGAAAAATCAGTTAACGGTACGGGATGGGTGCCCGTGTGCTCGGCTCTCCCCGGGTCTTACCTGGGGTGGGCAGTGGAGTGGATTCTCCGCGGGTCCTCCACGCTAGGAAGAATCGCGGCTCCCTCCCTCCGTCTCCGCAGCTCGCGATCAGAAAGAGGTCGCTCCCATCGCTCGGGCGGCGGGGCGGGGAGGAGGAGCGAAGCACA